TACAGACGGCTAAATCGAGTAATCGAGCATTACTCATACACACCAGTTTAAAATAGATGCTTGAGTTTGGTCTAAAAATTTCACTCAGAGGAGGCAGACGATTTGATCTTATTCTTCTTTTCTTCTCGGAGCTAGATGATTTCATTCGGGACAGCCAAAATCAGGGAATCAAACATGATGTTACGTCCGAGTATGTGAGGGAACTTGCGTTGTTTTCCTCCATAGCTGCCTTTCCTCCTAAAGTATTGTCACGTTTATACTACACTAATACACTATCGTGCCTTACGTGGGTCGACTTTTATCTGCGTAGCACATGCTGTCAAAAAGATGCACTATGAGTCTTGGTGGAGCGACTTACACAAAAATTTTGAAAATTTTGCGAAAAATATGAAAGGAGACCGAAGAATGTCTATGTCGAATAGATTTTCAGAGAACGATTTTGACCTATTGGCCCGATTATATGACGTCTTATAGACCTGTCTCATGTTCATACTCACAATTTCCGCGTTAATATTTCAAGTTTTGCGATGATTTTGTTCTTCTAAACGCGAAGAGTAAGAATTAAATATAAAAACATGCAATAGCTAACTGTTCCCCAACATATTGCGCCCTTTCTTGGTAGGGCAGTAAAAGGGTTGCTTGATATGACAGGTTTAAAATTACAGTCAGTGATATAAATACCTCCGTTCAAACTTAATGCGGGGATTGAACTTGAAGGCCTAGGTCATAGGTATGAAAACTTTTAAAGAAACTCTGAGTTGTGTTATTAAGGTCATCGGAGAAGGCGATCGACTCGCAAAGCATGTGGCGGGAATTGGGGTTAAATTTTTCTGTCCGCGCGAAGATACCATTGCTGCAATGCTGTAACAGCAATTATGGGTCTGCAACTGATGCTGCGGGTTGTATAAAAACCGTGGCATATTTATGCGCCATCGATTAATTCATTGATCGATTAATCGAATTGTAAGTACCGTTTAATGGCTGACACGTCGAGTGCAGAGAGGCGCACACTACTATCTTACATAGGTCTGCTCATTGTTGCGACATTGTTTCGAAAATTGAGTTCATTCCTGTCCTTACATGGACGAGAGGTGAGAATGATCAACGAAGATATCTTTGGAGAATTTTCAGGAGTCAGTCGCGCTGGTCACAGAATCGTGTTTTGATGCTTTATTCTTGCAGATCGACTAAAAATCAGAAGATCTGCCCAAACAGCAACTTTCTACGTTGAATATTAACCGAGATATCGCGCCTTGAAAAACTCGATTTATGACGTCATCCATCGCGGTAGTACATGCCATGTTATGCATTTCCGCGGTGGATGACGTCAAAAACCAGACTTTTCAAAGGACGATATCTCGGTTAGTATTCAACGTAGAAAGTTGCTGTTTGGACGGATCTTCTTATTTTTAGCTAATCTACAAGAATCAAGTATCAAAACACAATTATGTTACCAGCGCAACTGGCCCGTTCACGGAAATTAATGAAATTCCTTTTGATTTTAGGACTTTATCGAGAAAAAAAAACAAATTTATGAGAACTTCCCCGCAGCGACTTTTAGAGATGCCACGAATCTTATTTGGATTCATTTTTTGGTTGAATAAGAAAAAAATAACGTGCATCTGCAGCAGCTGGACTTGATAATCTAAGAAGATGGTAAAATAGAGCTGGGTCCACACAAATTTGAGGGGAAAACAAGGCTAAAAAGTTCAAAAACATCAATTAAAGTCAAAAGCTTTGATTTCCCCGCAAAATAGTGTGTACTGTGGATCCAGCACTATTTTACCACCTTGTTGCAAAAAGTTCGGGTCTCGTTTTTTAGTGTCTTTTCCTGGCTCGATAATCTAAGTTACACCATCACTGGAAAAAAAAACACATTGGATCTAGAGTCCAGACTCTAAAACATCGACAAAAAAAAATACTCTTGGTTCAATCAGATTTAAGCTTAAATCAAGAACCAAGCCTCTTAATTTGAGCGGATTTCCTTTTGATTTAAGCTTAGATCTGATTGAATCAAGAGTCCTTTTTCTTGTCAATGTTTCCAAGAGTCTGGACTCTAGATCCAACGTGTTTTTTTTTTCCCCAGTGATTGCACTGAGAGACAACGGTGTTTCGATCGTAATAAATTGCACGTTGCAAAGAAGAATGCAAAGCTCTTCCATGTCCGACGTCTTTCCGGCCCAATCAAGGCTGGCCAACTGCGAGTTTTCATTAAGAATGCATCCCGGTGCATTTCCAATATCTCAAGTTACCAGATGTCCGCAGACAGCTCCAATTCAGATTAACGTCCGCCAGCAAACGAGAAAAACAGGGTTACATCAGCTTCGATCTTCGATACCCATCATAACAGACCAGTGAAATGACGCCATTGAGTGCATGGGCGGGACTAGAACGAATTTGTGGAGGGCATAGGGGGCACCTTATCAAGGTGGTATTGGGGCAAGGAAAGACATACCGCCAAGGGGGGGGGGGGTACGCCCCCAGCTCTGAAGGGAATTTTGAAAATTGAGATGTCTCAGGGCAGCGTTAGAGCTTCCAGTCAATTTTGGAGAGAAGACGCCCTTAATTCTCCAGGTTTTCTAGACCAACTTTAAAATATTTTCTGATCTTTTTTCGCGAACAAATCTCCTAAGACACCCCCATGCCGCTACCTTACCCTACGTACTTTTGTAATTTCGTTATTCCGTTCATACTTTACACTAGATAGACATGGCGTGCGCTTGAAGAGGATAATTTTGGCATGGGCCTCTATACAGACACAGAATGAATTGAAACACTAGACACCGTGGTTTCTTCTTCAAAATAAGATGAAAACGCGTCACATAACGAGACTAAAAAATTTCATTTGTGAAAGCAGAAAAGTTTTTGTTATCACGAATGGGGCGTTAAAGGGTTATTTGATTTGTATCTTTTGTTTACTGCCGATGAGGAGGTTCAAACCACCCCGAAACGTCTCTGTCATTTTGTTTGTTCCTTAGACTTAGTTCCTCATTTTCTTACATTTTGTTTCGTTACATTATTCGAGCAATTTTTTGTACATTATTCTCATCTCTTTGACAAGATATGAGAGTGTGCAATTAACATTGATTAAATGGCAAAAATACAAAAGACATCATTTGCATGATAACACTTCAATCTGATCTGTGTTAGAAATACTTGTTAATATCTTGTCCAGGAGTTGATTTTCGAAGTTCCTGTTATGTGAATCGTTTCCAGGTCAGATTTTGAAGAGAAAACATGCGACAGTTTTCCTGCTTCGGACCACATCTAATAGTCCATTCTATCGAGAAATTTTGACGAGCTGAAACTTTTTTAAACTTCTTTCCCCAGAAAGCTCGTTTCCATTCTCAATAGAAACAACCCAAATTATTGAGCGATCACGATATAAAAATTTGAAGAAAAAAAACGAGTTTTCCTCAACATTGAGTAAGGTCTCTGTTTCTTCGGTCACCTTCTTACGCATATTGACCCAGGTCCAGACCCACTTGATTTTAGACGATGACCTTTAAAGGTGAAAAGCGCTGAGGAGTTGAGTCAAAATGTCAGAGAACGGAGAAGTGTTCCTTCATCTGATGAAGGTTTGTTTCAATACAATTTGCTCCGGGCAGTAATACCCTTTTCCTTTCGTGAGTAATTTATTCCCGAGCAATGGTTTATGGGTCCGCCCCTCAATCACGTCATACTCGCTGGAGGAGAGGAATATGTCCTGACAATGAGTGCAAGGGTTTTGTTTTTCAGGCCGCAGATACTGAGATCGAATCTCTTGACAGAAAATGCCTTCAAACTCGGCGTAGATTTCTGAAGCTAAATCCACACGCTAGCCAATTCCTCACTATTCCTGAAAATCACGAGATATGACGTTTTCCAGAGGTAAATTCCGAGTCATGATGTCCAGACCCCCTGAACACCCCCTCCGGCTCCAGGGGAAGATTTTGCACCCCTGCGCGCATCTGAATCAGTACTTTCAAAAAGGATCGAAGTCCAATTTTTCAAACTCGTTTTTGTTCTAAAGAAGCCCAAGAAGCGGACTACCGCTGCTTTCTCGGATTGTATGGTAAGGACAGCCGAAGAGCTCAAAAATGCAGAAAAAAAAAATGATTTTGAGAAATGAATTTCCGCACTTTTTAAAATTACTGATGCATCCATCCTCTACAGTCATACGCAATTCGTGGACGACCCCTCTGGTGCGTTTGCAGGGTGTCCAGTTTTTTTTTCATTTGGGGAAATCCTGATTTTTGCCTGCTCAATCCTGATTCATAATTTTTCCAAATCCTCATCAAATCCAGATTGTTTGCGGAGAAAAATTGACGTCATCACTTCACGCACGGCGAACGTAACTTCTCAAAAATAGCTCGACAAACAAAATCCGACGGCCGACTTTTCTCGAATCCTGATTTTACGACCGATTTTTCCTCAAATCTTGATAAAATTGGGATTAAATCCAGATTGACCTCAAATGAATTGGTGAGAACGATAACAGACCAACTCGGTAACTCTAAAATCCTCAATTTTCATTAAGGACAGTCAATTTTCATAAAGGTCATTGAAATTAGCGAATCTGTTCCAACTTGGACCTTTAAAGTTTTCTGAAGTACTTGTTTTTCGGCACAAAAAATGTTTTTCTTGGAATTTCTTCTTCACTGCTGTGCAGTTTTGTGTGCGTCCTCATTCTTTTCATTTTTTCGAGTTGGTGTGTTTTCGTTCTCACTGATTCAAATCCTGATTGAATCGGAAAAATCCTGATAGCAGACACCCTGGTTTGGATTTCATTCACAGCTCACCGCCGGAAAACACGGAGCACTGCGGGAAGCAGCATGGGCGGGGGTTGCGTCATCCAACGTCAACGTCCGTCGTGTCGTGGCGGAAATAGGAAAGGCGCGCGTCTCGCGGACGGAAACGGCTGAGCGGGCTTATTCGGATTCGCGCGCGATCTATCGACCAATCAAATCCCGGCATCTTTCAGACTCCAGCTGAACCCGAGTCCCCGTCCGCGGCATCCCACCCGGGGAGGAACAGTTCCCTCTTACGCGTCGCCCATTCGAAACTGGTCGCAAGCTCTCGTCCATTGATCGCTACAGTCGCCGGAAAAGTAACGATCGCACTTCCTGTTCGGAGTGAGAGAAATATTACGCGCCTGATTCCCCCGTGACATATTTTTGGAATTTTGAGGCTTTTTGTTACAAAAGTTACCGAGAACAATTACGGAGATTAGACTGTTGAAAAGATTCGGAAAATGCGGTTTTCCCGGAAAAGTAACGATCGCACTTTTGCTATATCTTGTTCGGAGTGAGAAAAATATTACGCGCCTGATTCCCCCGTGACATATTTTCGGAATTTTGAAGCTTTTTGTTATAAAAGTTACGGAGAACAATTACGGAGATTAGACTGTTGAAAAGATTCGGAAAATGCGGTTTTCCCGGAAAAGTAACGATCGCAGTTTTGATGCACCTTGTTCGGAGTGAAACAAATCTTACCCGCCTGATTCCCCCTGACATATTTTTGGAATTTTGGAAGCTTTTTGTCGTAAAAATTATGGAAAATAACAGAGATTAGACTATTGAAAGAGTCAGAAAACGCGATTTTTTTGCGGAAACGTAACGGTCGAAATTTGACCGTATCCTGATTGGAGTGAAAACAAATCTTAAGCGCGTGATTCGCCCGTAGCGAATCTTGTGTTTTGAATGTTATTAAAGTTACCGAAAACAATTACAGAGATTAGATCGTTAAAAAGAGTAGAAACTCTCGTGCGCAGTGACGGAATTTGATCAAGGATTTCAGAGGATTAATGTATTTGGATAACGCTTCGATTAAATGATTAGTTTTGACAAAGTCTTTGAATATTTCTTCAAAATTTAAAAATAAACGAAATCACTTAAAATTTAGTGTTTTGAACCTACTCGAAGCCTAAAAAAGTGTCGTAGAAGCTGACAAATTATCTTTCGCGCTTTGTGAAGTCACAATTTCTTGCACAGATCCCGCGGTAAACTTCATTGTGGTGTTTACTGCATCAGTGCATCAAAGTTCGATGATCGAGAGTGCGCGATGAAATTTTCACCTTGATTCTACTTAACTAAAAAAGCGGACAAATCTATCGCTCTCTTTAATTTTTCGAGGGATTTTTCACCAACAGCAGCAGATACACCCGTTGAATGTTGGAAAAACTGTATACGATTGAGTGAAAATATAGTTTTTCGAAAGAAGTTTCATTTATTTGTGTTCATTTACGGTTCATACGTAGTTTGCATATTCTGTAATTTTACGTACTTTGTTGCTCTAGACAGTGCTTAAATGTTCGAAAAAATTTCAAGGCACAGAACACGCCGGATTATAACGCAGGAAGTGATTAAAAGTGAGATTTCGTGTGACAGTGATGCTGCTGTTTAAAGGAGACGCCACAATGAAACATTTTGGAGCTCTCATACTCATGCAACTTACTCAGATGGTACATCTCCTAGACTTGGGTACGATTTAGTTTTACTAAATTACAACATTTTACATGAGTTTATTTACGGGACAGGGGCCTTCAGAAGGGTGACCAAGAGAGGTTCCGTAGTTATCCACAATTTACGTAGAATTGGCTAAAAACGCCCTGAACTTGCAGCCTTATTGCGAAAATAAATAGCAAGGGCTGAGTTGTAGCCTTTTTCTGTGAGTTACTTTCACCGGCATAGACCGAGGAGTGCACATTGAGAAAGAAGACCGATATTGAATAACACTTAATTCTTTTGGTTCAGATGACCGAAGATTTCAATCAAATAAATCGAAATTTGATTGATCTAACCTAGAGTTGGTTCCTATAACCAGAAACTTCGGTTTTTACATCGACAGAAAAAGTTTGGTGTTCAAATTGATCCGGGTTCCGGGAAATGGGAGCACTAGGCCAACGACGACATGGACTCATTCACGAATAAAAAAATTAAAAAATTGAAATTAAAAAAAAAATTAAACAAAAAATTTTAAAACAAATTAAATTTTAAAAAAATCAAAATTATTAAATTTAATTTTTTTTTCAAATTGCAGGTTTACATTGGGCGTAAGAAGACGTCTAGAAAGAAAAAACAAATCATAGTTTTAAAGAATTAAGCTTAACTTTAAGAGTATTAAGCAGTAAATGTAAGATTCATAAAAACGATTTAAAGTCTTCTTTAGGCTTCCAGGACTTTATGTCCACCTACCTTTCGTCCATTCAATAAATGTCCACCGCTATTTATGTCCACTAAACAATAAATCCAGTCTTAATTAAGTCCACATGATTTAATGTCCAATCATGAATATGTTCCAAATTGTGGACATGTTATGTCCACATTTTTTTATTCTCATTTAAATGACAGGAACCACCTCAAAAATAAATGCATACCACTACTACCTTCACTCTTAAAAACATTTCATTCATGAATCAAGTCATGAAAGAGAACAGGCTCTAAGAGCAGATAAAACCATATGTTCATGTGTACACTGTACGGATATGATAAGATGAAAACCAAAGCGGGAGCCTAGGAAACGCTCCAATGCCAAATTAAACATTTTTCAGTAACAGATGCAGTCAAAATTGAAAGTCCTCTTTAACTAGTTATTTCGTGCGCCTTCAATCTTGTAGGATACTGCGCAACGCCTCTGACGCGAAATAGTTGCTTAAAGTGTTACGGCGCGGCAGGCAACCAGCGTGACACGCCCATAGGCGCCTACAAACCTAATGGGATACTTCACGCGTTGCGCAATACGTGAAGTATCCCGTTAGGTTTGTAGGCGCCAGTGCGCGTTCTGCGCTGCTAACACGCCGCTCCGCTCTGTGTTAGGCTCTAATATTCAAACTCGCGGAGTCAGCGTTTTTTAACTCATGATTTTGAAATGTTTGCACTCTCTGCATTGATTATTCCCTTTTAAACTGATGAAAAAGAAATATGTACTACTGGAAAATATAATGTGTTTTTTGTAAATATAATAGTGGTTCCGTGTCAAATTTAATGATTTCCAAATCATTCTAATTTATCCTTTTATGTTTTGGGCTTTTACTGTGCTGCAGCGTGGTGTAAGCGCAACCAAACGCTCAAAATTGGACGTACTTGACTCAAGGAGGTCAATGTACACAAAAAATTGCTTGCTTCTTAGTATTTTCCTCTTTTATTAATTTTTGTATAGTTTCTTTCATCACTTTTTCTATAGGATCATTGAGATTCATATCGATGCCATTGCTTGGAAAAGGTTTTACAAATATTTACCACGTTTTAAAAATGTAAATGTTTTTAAAATGAAGTAATCAATTTCATTAAGAAAAAAAGAATGTACATTTCAGGCATATTTTATATCGGAAATTTCAAGTATAGAAATGAAACCAAGTATTTACCAAAGACAATTTGAAAAGATGAATGAAAAGAAGAAATTAACATTTCATTTAAAATATGAGTTACGATAACAACACCTCATTCTCTCTTAATTTTTTCATTTCGATATTGTCGATATAATTTTACACACGGACTGAAATATGACGCTTGAATTTGATTTTAGTGGACTTTACATTTGTGGACTTAACTTAGTGAACGTTTAAGTAATGGACTTAACAATAGTGTGGGCTTTAGAACTGTGGACGTAAAAATTGTGGACGAAAAGTCTGTGGGCGTAAAAAAAGTGGACATAAAGTCCGTGTACCCCTCTTTAGAAATAAGCGTGTGGAATAATACGATGCTTCAAAACAGAGCTAGTTTTACTATAGAACAAATAACATTTTTTTAACATTTTTTTTCCGAAGCTCTAAAAATCCGCAGCAGATTGGGAAAATGTTTGAGGCTGCCCAGATCACAGCTGCCATTAGACTCATTAGTCCCGTTAGGCGCACTCAAATCGAATCACGTTGAGTGGTTCCGAATTGCCGCTCGGGGAGGGCGAGGGGGAGGGGGGAGGGGGCGGGAGGGGCCGCTGCACCGAGCTAAATGCCAGAATTTCACGTTTATGACCGAGACGAACGTAAAATAAACGGCACGTACTAGCACCAAGATTTTGAATTTTAATCGATGGGATCGAGCAACTTAGCGTCGATGTGATGGTGTTCACGAAGGGGAATTAAGAGATTTCATTGCCGGCGATTCGACATGCGGAGTGCGGCGTGCGCTCGCGTTGGAAAACGATCGTGAAACTCGAACTGCATGCATTCGCAGACTAGAGGGAAAGAGGAGGAAGGTGGAGGTAGGGGGAGACATACAGTCGAACTGAATGAACTACATACTATAAGGCTCAGGTTGATAAAACGCAGTGGTCTATGTAGAACTTTAATTCCAGCCAGGGTGTCCTGCCCTTCCGGACACTTCAGGGGGAGGGGGAAGCTAGAGTCCCTTTATACCCAGAGTTAAGACAACTCACTTTTGGTTGGGCTGAAAGTGGCCTAAAAAAAATCCAATTCTGATTGGTTCTCGCTCATGGAGGCCGAAACGAGTGCACCACGATGGCGGTACCTCGAATGTGAACAAGAATAATGAAAATATTACCTGATTGTGGTTTATCAAGAGTAAATTTTTATTTCCATCGGTCTAAAATGAAAATAGATTAAGAAATTATTCACAAACCAATCTAATTTTCGTTTTAATTGATCAATTTGTTGATGTTGTTGTTTTTGTGTGACAGACATCGCAGGATTCCTGATCCTTATCCCTCAATATCGTTCGTTTGGGTGCACTCGTTTCGGCCTCCGTGGCCAGCCAAGGCCGGCTGCCAGTCAGCTGATAATCGAGTTGTCTTAACTCTGGGTATAAAGGGACTCTAGGGGAAGCAAGTTCACTTGAGGGGATGGGGAGCGGCAAAAAATATCCTAAAATTACCGCTAAGACCGAAAAACTTATCAAAATTTCCCCTATGTATTTGGAAGGTCGAAAAAATGCGAAATGTAGAGGGGAGGGGGGGGGGTTCATAGTTCACCTGAATTGATGAAATCTTTCAAGATTTCAAATATTATCGAAGGAAATTGTTTGGAAATGACAAAGTTTCCCTGATTTCTTCATTTTCCAAATCCTCGACTTTTCCCTGATATTTTTTTTTTCTCCTGTTTCCAAAACTTTCGATTTCTCTGAATTTTGAACAAAATTTCCAGTTCGATTTGTTCTCATTCTGATTACGCTAACTTCTGCTAAACGCTGCTCGCGAAATTTCCTGACTATTCCTATATATTCTCTGACTTTCTAGGTTTTCAAGATCGCTGGAAACCCTAGAAATGCTGTTAACATGGTTCAATTTGGATTTTGATACATTGCTATATACTTATTTCGTGCGGTTTCTTCATAACGAACACCGTAAAGGGCCAACATTTAAAGTAACTAGGAGTCATCTTTTGTCAATAGACTAAGATGTAAGCAAATTGTTTCAAAAAACGAAACGAAACGAAAAACTGGATATAAACCTTTGAAGAAAACTTTGGGTGTGGAGAAGAGACATCAAATCCTCAGTAAATTAAAATACTTTCGGAAATGTTTACAGGTTAATAGCCAGGGAAACATTGTGAATTTCACGTTCCTAAAATTACGTGCCCCAGAAGTAGTCAAAGGGAGTCCGAGATTGAACTTTTTTTCAAATGGGTGTTAATGGGTTGATATCACCTTAAATTTTGAAGCATGTCCTGAGCATGCATTGAGAACGATATAAGCAAAAAAGATCCAGATCTATGTCCACGCCTTTAATTTCCACAACACGTGCTTAATACTGCGCAATTTTTTAAGTATCATAGTATGTGAAAACTTTTTTTTCGTAAACTTGACAACCATTTATTCCTCTAAAATAACAAGAGCCTTCAATGTGAATGTGACGATGTAAAATTTTGGTCAGAGTAAGTTGATACTAACAATAAGATTGCATAGCCCGGTAATGAATTGTTCCTCAATCCATGACACTCGACCCCTTTGGGTCAAAATCCTGACACGTCTACATATTTTCTGCACGACGATCCACACTGCTGCATGCTGCCATGCTAAGGTAAAATGCCAGATGAACATTCGAGCGTTACCAAAATTCTTCCGATAAATTTCTCGTTTCTGAGGAAACTTTATGAATATTTTCCTTCAAAATTTTCAGTCATTTTGGATCAAACTACGAACAAAATTCTAAAAATTGGAAAGAAAATATTAGTTACAAATTTCCCCGGAAAATCGTGATTTTTCAAAAGAAATTTGACAACGTCTGAAGGTTCATGCGGCGTTCTTCCTTAGCATGGCCCACGTCGCGTCGCGTCGCGGTTAGCCTCACTATCAGTCAAAACACCTAGCTTCCGTTCCCTTAAATCGTTTAAGCCGTTGCGATAAATTACAAAATGATGATACATTTTTTTTTGCCTCGCACTGAAAAAAAGTTACGGGCTATAAAGACATACCGTCCGTTCGGGCTCAGGAGCCGAAAGTTCCGGGTCCTGAAGCCGTTGCTTCGATTGCTCCAGGTGCTACGCCCGGAACTTCCGGCCTCTGGGTCCGGAACGCGGACAGAACGTTTATACTGACGTACTAAGAAAAAACGCCGTATGAATGTTCGAGAGTTGCCAAATTTCCTTCAATGAAATGTTTATTTATGAAGAAATTTATGAATATGACTCTCTCTAAGTTTCAGGGATTTTAGTTGAAATTGCAAGCAAAATTATCCGAAAAATTATAAGAAAAATATTCATAATTAAAGCCGGAAATTCGTACTTTATCAGAGGAAATTTGGCAACGCATGAAGGTTCATACGGCGTTTTTTCTTAGCACGGCAGCATATAGCCCGTAAGTACGGCTTCCACGGCCGGATTTTTTTCCAGAGCGATGGTTTTGCAAGCTTCACGATCAAAAACATAATTTTGAGACCAAAAACATGTGCCGAGCCAGGGTGTCTACTAAAACAGGCTGGCCAAAAATCAATTCTTTTACAGTCATTTTTAAGTACCTTCCCAAGAAATCTAGTACCACCTTAACAGAAAAATGCAATACTTTTTTAGTGCCTCCAATTGAAGAAATTCGAAACAGTTCAAAAATTTGAATTTCTCGCTCAAATTGCGACAAAAATGACAAAAAAAGGGGGGAAAAACCCCGAACTTTTTTGCTGCATTTCCGCACTTTTTCAGTACTTCTGGACCGCACTGGAAAGAAAAACACATTGGATCTAGAGTCCAGACTCTTGAAAACATTGACAAGAAATAGGACTCTTGATTCAATTAGATTTAAGCTTAAATCAAAAGGAAATCCGCTCAAATTAAGAGGCTTGGTTCTTGATTTAAGCTGAAATCTGATTGAATCAAGAGTATTTTTTCTTGTCGATGTTTTTAGGAGTCTGGATTCTAGATCCAATGTGTTTTTTTTTTTTTTTTTCCAGTGCGCCCTTAAAAATGCAGTACTATTTCCGGAAATTCTGAACTTGCAGACACCCTAGATGTGGCTTGGTTCCTTTCTGCCGGACGCGGTCCAATTTTTCCTTGGCGAAGACAACCTCGCCGCTCGGTGGAACATAAATCGAGCGGAACATGATGAGAACCCGAAACAGGGCGATGGGACGTCAGCGGGTCCGCTTATGCATCTCGGGAGGGAGTGTCTCATCCCTGGCGTGTCCGCCCCTTCGCCGCGAGCCCCGACTCGAGCTCCTGACAATGATCTCAACATCCAGCCGACCATTATCTATTGACAGTAGTTTCATATTTCCTGGCCCGTAAATCCTATCGCCGCGCCGCCGCGCCGCGCGCCAGCCGCAGATTTAAATTCGCGGGTCAAACAACTACGCCCTCTCAGCCGGTGCATTGCTCCGGCACTCAGGCCCTGGGTCCCGGTCGATGGATCATCTTCGTCATCGCCTTGTCAAAGCGAGCGAGGGTTCCCGGGCGCCCTGGAAAAGTTCCGAGAGTGCGGCATACACGGGAAAAAAATGTTTAATTCGCATGTTTACGCGTTGAAATCGTGGAAAACGCCCGCAAGTGTGTTCAGATCTCTCCGCACAGAGAAAAAACAGACGACGGTTCCAACGTTAAGACGTTGGACAGTTTTAAAACGTAAAGACATTAATTTCTCAAATACAAGCCTACAGGCATTACATAAAGTGGGCAAAACAGGAAAAAAAAGGTAGAAAAGGTACATTAAAAAAAAATTGAGAAAATAGGTATTGCTTTCCGCCACGAAAAATGGCGCCGATTCCCATGGAGCAGTGCGGGCCTTTACCACTGGATACATTAGTAACATACCCGATGCAAAACGACGGGAGAGATAGCTAGAGACTTGAGATTTGCCCCTGAATTTTTTTTTTTTTTTTTTTTTTTTTTTTTTTTTTTTTTTTCATGGACTTATCAATTTTCACCACAATTAGGGGTTGGAATTTGAAATAAATATCACCGAAAGCATATGCCTGCTTAGACGGATCTCTCTTTTTTGGATCCGTTTGAATGGTCCAAAAAGTTGGCCTTGAGAAAATCCCCCGAGTTTCATTTCAAAAAACTCATGGATTGGGGAAAATGTTGGTGAATCTGCATGAAATAATTCATTTTGTCACTAGAAAAGACAAGAGAAAGGATGAATAAGAAACCGGGGGAAAGGTTTATTCGAATGATAATTGAACGATCTCTTTATTGCGTCTACTTAATGGTTATTAGCGATTGATACAATTATTTTGTTACAGATGATCCAGAGGTCGGATCGATAGTGAAAGGGATCGAAGACAGAGTGTACATCTGTCCTCCAAAATTCGTGCGGCAAGGAAATAGCTGCTATTATATCAGTACCGATAATGCAACCTGGCATGATGCCCACTTCAAGTGCCAATCGATGTCCAAGAAAAAGAAAATCACCCTTGCTGTTCTTGAAACCAAGAAAGAAGACCGGAATTTGAAGCAGTTCTTGAAGTCACCTCGTAAGTTTGACATTTTTTCATCTGTCCCTAATAATTTTGGAATTTATTGTGATAAGGTCCTACTTGACGAAAAGATTTGGTGTGCACTGGAGAAAAAAACACATTAGATCTAGAGTCCAGACTCTTAAAAACATCGACAAGAAAAAGTACTCTTGATTCAGTCAGAATCTAGCTTAAATCAAGAGCCAATCCTCTTAATTGAAGCGGATTTCGTTTTGATTCAAGCAAAAATCCGATTGAATCAAGAGTATTTTTTCTTGTCAATGTTTTCAAGAGTCTGGACTCTAGATCCAATGTGGTGTTTTCCCCAGTGTGTTCTTGACGGTTAGCTTATGTAATTATTGTTCCGATCGGAAATTCTTGCGTTACAAAACCATTCTCGGAAAAAAACCCTCATAAACTAGGTACTACCTTTACTGGCGATAAAAATATTTCTGTTCAATCCGCAGAACAATTTTACCTTGAAAATTCAAATGAATCGACTATGATGCGCCATAACGACACGTACATTAGAACTGAAGATATCTGAGAACATATTGAGGTGACTAAAAAGCTTGCATGAAGGTGACATCTGCGGATCGAAAAACATCGCATTGATAGAGCATTTGCAGGTGTCTAAGATTTGAGGAAGTTCAATTTTAAGTGGGAGCTGTGAACTGAAGACAAGGATACCCTTGGTTCATAAAATGAACAATTATAGAAAGAGAGATACGACAAAATGATTTAATCTGCTAAGATACGTGTGTTTAAATGGGAAATGTATCCAGATGACGGCACAAGGCGGCACATTATCTCACTTCTAAATCTATTTTTCAAAAATTTCCCATTACAGAAAAAATTATGAAAATACTACTTACGCAGCTCATTGAGCACTCGTAGATACAGCAATAAAATTTTTCGTGCAAATTCTCCACTTTCCCCCCCTTTTTTTGGAAGAAGATCGGAAGATTCAGGGCCGGATTTACCTACTTGCCGCCCATGGGTCGCCAGTATCTTTACGCCCCCTTCTCATTTGCTTTGAAACATCAATAGATCGTATTCGATAGTGGTTCGATGTATCGTTTGGTTCAAAACAATAGAACATAACCTCAAACAAAAATTTTAGGATTTAATTTGGAATAGCTAAAAATGAGAAAATTCTTAACAATTTCACTTTTCATTGCCATTCGGTACTCGAGATGATAAAATTCGATCAAATAAGACCCGCTACCTCATTTTTCTAAATCTACTTTTGAGGCTGTGGTTACATATTGAACCAATCAATATCAATATAATCTCACCTGTGTATTCTGTCGAACGCGATCTATAAAAACCATCAAATGGACGTGCCGGTGGGGGCGGGGTGTATGAGAGGCGTTCACTCGTGTTGGGCACATTTTTTGTGAACACCCTGTCAACACTAACAAAAGTTAAGTTCCGTAAACCCAACGCGTGAAGTATTCATGCGGTCTTGTGGGCGCTATGCATTTCAAGCCGACTGCTGCTGACCGCAGTGTGTTTGACGCAATGCGTGAAGTATTCATGCAGTCTTGTAGGCGCTATGCGTTTCAAGCCGACCGCCGCGCCGCTCCGTTCCAGGTCGAAGTGCGTGTTCGGTTTCTCTCTTAACTCAACTAATTAAAGGTGTTGTCTCTTGTATCACCGAAAGACGACAAAATTCTTAGAAATTACTATACATTTACTCTCAGGAAATGATAGATTTTGTCGCCTTTTCTCGTTTGTAATTTATTTTCTGAATCCGATTTTTTTCTCTCTTTTTTTGATAACTACATTAAAAAAGATTGCAAAATTTGCCGCCCCCTACATTTTGCCGCCATGGGCCGCGGCCCATCTTAATCCGGTCCTGAGAAGATTTAATGGCATGGGTACTTTCCCCTGATTAAGAACCCTTAATTTAAGGAAGCAATGGACCAATAGACAAGGTACGAATTTAAGCATTCTAATACATGTTATTTGACCAGAATTTCACGTAAAACACGACGCGCACCACGAAAATTACCGAAATCAACTCGTTATGAAGATATTTAATGATTCTTGATGCGTGAATTCAAACCACCCGCTCATGAAAACTCGCAAATGCTCTACCTGATTCACATCGAGCGCTAAACGTTATCATGACAGTCTCTGCGATATAAAAATCTGGCAACCTTAATCTTGACGCTTTAGCTCAGCTATTGCAAGTTGTTTATAGTTTGAACAGCACATGGTGGGAAATGAACATCGCTTGATTGAGAAGTTTGCTGAAACCGTTCTAGTGCACGATTTGACTCACGTAGAGCTTTGAGTTTCTTGTGAGCGGGCAGTTCAAAATCCGCGTAAGCAATGTGTAATAAAAACGTTAATATCTTCGTTAGGAGTTGGTTTCAGTAATTTTCGTTACGCGAATCGTGTTTTACGCGAAATTCTGCAAATGAAACATGTATCTGAGTGCTTAAATTCGTACCTTGTCTAGTGGTCCATTAAGATATACTCCTTGGCATTGGATACGCGTACGCACATGGCGATTTGTGAGCCCACCATGCAGTGGCGTGGCGTGAATTGCGATGTATCGATCGTTATGCCATTTAAACCTATGGAAAAGGATCGATTAACAGGGTGTTCGCAGCGAACACCTTAATAATCGATTCTTTACCATAGGTTTAAATGCCATAACAATCGATACATCGCAATTCACGCCACGCCACTGCCACCATGATCCGGCAACTTCATCTCCGGTTGCCTACGACGACGGACCGGAAGATTGCTAAACTTGAGTAAATATTTACAAAAACGTGAGAATGGACATGTTGAGTGCGTAAGGAATCCATCGCCAATAAAAGCCGCGGCTTGTCTGGGATTGCAACGAGAAGGTTGCCGCTCATTAAGTGCAGCTACAAATATCGTCACCTTCCGGCCGAAGCACCAAAAGCGCCATGCGACGTTCAAAAATGTCCGCCGCCATTTCATTTTTTTCCACAGAAATTGAATCAGTGAGTTCGAAAACACATCAACTCAGAAAAAAAATGGTTCAGGAAACACCTAAAACTGCGCAGCGGGCGAAGACATTGGTTTAAGAAAAACCTTTTTGGTGCCGAAGGACAAGTACTTAAAGACTTTGTAAAGCACCAAGTTGAAATCGATACACCATGTTTGATGACAGAGACTTAAGCGTTTAAAAATTTCCGAGCTGGTGTGTTTTCGTTCTCACCGACTTTCAGATACTGATTTTTCATAGTCTTCCCTGAAAAATTTATATTTTTCGACCTGAATAACGATTGAATATTTACACAACTTTATTCAACTTTAGTACATTAAAATGTTAAAATTTTAAAAATTCCATGATTTATGACGTGCGGAAAATTTCTTGATAAATGTGCGTTCAGGATCTTACAATCGTTTAACATATTATTGTATACTGCATATTTTTAGAGAGGATTCTTTCTTACAAGAGCAACGAATTATTTTGTCTAAAATTAGGGTAAAAAATCAAAATTTCAATCGAAGTAAGAATGTTTTTATATTTGCCAAGGCATTTGACAAAATGCCTGATTTGAATATTTGCCTTCGACACATGCAAATTGATGCGTTTTTGTTTAACTCGGTCCATTTGAACTCTAAAAATGTTCTTTCAGAGAAAAATTCATTTTGGCACTCTTCCAGCTATTTTCAACGAGAAAAACACTTCCTTTCCCGAGAGTAAGGTTGCTAAAGGATGTTCGATTGGCAACCGTGCTTTTGAAGGAGTAGATTGCACTTCGCACGCGCTGAGTGACGCAATGCATATACGCATTACGCATGACGCGTTGGACACTCGGGCATGCGTGAGCTTGAGCATGAGAGTTCCGAGCGCTGAAAGCTGAATCAGCGGCACAAGGACATAGATGAAATTTTGAGTCCTCAAGGAGTTGTTTAGTGGTGTCATAAAAACTCCTTCGCCTATCGCTTCATAAATGTGCACATGCGTTCTCGAAGTTATGTGGTCATCAGAAAAAGATCAATTAAAAATCATCGAAGAGACATGATTGATGCAATCCTAATTGACCTGAAGAAAAATTGAATCAGTTTCTGTTGGTCAAAAATATCATGAGCCCTGGCTTTCGTTGATCACGCAGAACGCTAGGGCTCATGAGCTTTTGGACTTACGCCTGCCTGACAGAAACCGACTCAATTAATTTTCTGTTTGCAACACAGTTCCACCGATGGAAAGGCCTCTTACGTAATTTTGTATTTTTTGACAATTTTGCCTTAGCTCTCATTAGTTCGGTCATCAATACCGCGTCCGATAACAATATAACTGCATTGATGTTTACCAATACAATATTAAAAAATTACAGGGCGTAGTGGGCGTGGAAACTCTTGTAGTTTTCAATAGCCAACTTCTGATGACCAATGACAACCAGGGTGTCCAGTATTTTTCATTTTGGGAAATCCTGATTATTCCTGATTTTTGACTGCTACATCCGATTTCATGATTTTTTCAAATCCTGATTTTTTGCGTAGAAAAATAACTTCACAAAAATAGATCGATTCAGATGGCCGACTTTCCTAAAATCCTGATTTTACGAGCGATTTTTCCTCAAATCTTGATAAAATCGGGATTAAATCCTGATTAACCTCAAATCCTTAAGGAATCGGGAAAATTTGCAGAATCCTGCTGATACTAGACTAGCTGATAACGCACCTTTCATTGCACCTGAAGCCTTTCCTGTCAAGTCTCCTAAGCAGAAACGTATTGCTCCTTTAAAATCCGACCAATAAATTGGCGATGCGCATGATGGGGAAATGAAAAATATATTAGCGAGGTTTGCAAATAGATACGATACCGTCAACGGAAAAAGAGACCTTAGTCCAAAGACGCTGTGCTCCAGTACAGTATAGACAATACAGTTAAACCTGAAACCTCTTGGTTTTTCACAGAATTTTTCAATGAGTCAATTTTCCGAAGGTTCTTATTTTTAGCCATGTTAGTGTTTCCGGAGTCAAAGATGCTGATCCCGTCTAGTTGCTGTTTTATAGTAAAAAGAAGTTGCATTTGCTGATCGTGCTTATGCCGCGCACAAATAAAAACTACGAGCAAATTCATTATTTCAATCATACGAAAAAGGAAGAAGGTAACGCGATCGATACTTAGAATAGGAGACAATGAGACGACGCAAATCAAATTTGCGTACATCATCAAGCTACCTAAACACAATAGAGTCCGAGAGTTACTCAAGTATACTGTCGTGCTAAGGAAGAACGCCGTACTCTTCAAACGTTGCCAAATTTCCTCCAACAAAACCCGAATTTACAGGGAAAATCGCGAATATTATTTTCTCAAAATTTCAGACAATTTTGTACGAAATTTAAGCTAAAATATCTGAAAATTTCAAGGAAAAATATGCATGAATGTGGTCAAAAATACAGGTTCTATCAAAGGAAATTTGGCAACGATCGAGTGTTCATACGGCGTTCTTCCTTAGCACGGCAGTATAACAGTTAGGTGGTCAGCCATCAGCAGTATTGTAGGCTAAACTGAGAAATGACACCGAGCATATCGCTGAGCACTATTACCTCATTTTTTCGTCGGGGGAAAATTGAATCAGCGTTCTTCGAGGGGACTCTCCGGCATGTTTTGCACGATTAGCAGGTTTTAACAGTTGAAAAATCGCGATTATTTGGAGTCTGGGTAATCTGTATATTGATACGGATCGGTTTCCATGGAGCCGCGGTGACGCTATATTGAGGTCTGATTGACTGGGTGGTCAGACCGTCTGACTACCTTATTAAAGGAGCTCAAATGGACTGCATTTTGCAATTAAGAACTACAATATCTGGCTCACCCTTAAAAACACTTACGCGCTAAGGGAAACTAAGGGTGCATACGTTGTTTCTAAACTGAACCAAAAATTGTAGTTCTTAACAGGGCCGGATTAAGGGGGTGGCCACATGGGCCGCACCCATGGCGGCAAATCTAAGGGGCGGCAAAAATGTGCACTTTGTGTAGGTGTGTGTAGGTATAAAAAAAAGATCGGATTTATAAAAACAAAATTACAAACGAGAAAAGGCGACAAAATCTTTCATTTCCTAAGAGTATAGTAATTTCTAATTTTGTCATCTCTTAGTGATGCAAGAGACAGCACCTTCAATAAGTCGAGTTAAGAGAGAGACCAAACACGCAATTTGGCCTGGAACGGCGCGACTTAGAGAGAAATGATAACGAGGACTTGAGATGGAAAGAAGAAGCCCTCGGCGCGGCGATCGGCATGTAACACATATTAGCGCCCACAAGACTGCACGAATACTTCACGCATTGCATCATACACAGTGCGGTCATTGCGCGCGGTCAGCGTGAAACGGATGGCGCCTACAAAAATGCATGAATACTTCACGCATTGCGCCAAACACGGTGCGGTCTGCGCGGCGCGGCGACGGAAGTTAAAATCATTGATCCACATTTATGTGTGTTCTTTCATAATTTCGTTCATTTCTTATGAATGGGAGGTCTTGTCCACACAAAGATAGGTTTACGCAAAGTTCGCGCAAAGTTCCGTGAACTTTTGCTAGTAGTGTTGACAAGGCTTTCCCAAAAAATGTATTCAACACGAGTAAATGCATCTTATGCACCCTTCCCCCGCTGACACGTTCATTTGATGGTTTTTATCGAGTTTCAAAACGAATGAGAAGGGGGCGGCAAAATACAGGCGGCCCATGGGCGGCAAGTAGGTGAATCCGGCCGTGGTTTTTAATGGACCACTAGACAAGGTACGAATTTCAGCACTCTGATTATTTGTTCTGTAACCAAAATTTCACGTAGAGCACGATGCGCACAATGAAAATTATCGAAATCAACTCCTCACAACGATATTTAATGATTCTTGATGCGTGAATTCAAACCACCCGCTCATGAAAACTCAATGCTCTACGTGATTCACATCCCGCGCTAAACGTTATCATGACAGTCTCTGCGCGATGTAAAAATCTGGCAACCTCAATCTTGACGCTTTGGATCAGCTATAGCAAATTGCCTATAGTTCGAACAACACATGGTGGGAAATGAATATTGCTTGATTAAGAAACTTGCTGAGACCGTTGTCGTGCGCGATTTGACTCGCGTAGAGCTTCGAGTTTCTTGTGAGCAGGCAGTTCAAATTCCTCGAAACCAATGTGAAATGAAAAGGTTAATATCTTCGTTAGGAGTTGGTTTCAGTAATTTTCGTTGCGCGAATCGTGTTCTATGTGAAATTTTGGTTAAGAAACATGTACCGGAATGCTTAAATTCGTACCTTGTCTAGTGATCAATTGCAAAAGTAGTTCAAATGATCTGATTCGCATGCTCACAAACGCACTGGAGAAAGGAATCAGAGAAGGTGACATCTATTCGTGACTGTCAGTGGCGATTCTTGAAAGTTGGCAACGCTGTTTTCTCTCCATTTAAATGCAGGTAAAACAATCGATTCTTGGTGAGCCTAGAATCGATATTTTCAATGGATTTATACGGAGGAAAAACAGTGTTGCCAACTTGGAAAATCGCCACTGGTGACCTGTTGATCGTCGACGTTCAAAATTATCAACTTTCGTAAACAGAAGTCAACTTCAACCTACGCAAGAACATGCTACCTTTCGGAATTTATGCTCAGACTATAATTTTGTTTATGTAGGCACTTAATGATCACGTGATGAGACCTTTTCAACCAATAAAGATATTGTGTATGCAGCACAAGTATCGGTTAACGATTTTCAAAGTTTCCGCTGATGCTTTAAGTATCAAAAGGAATGAAGTGGCACTAAACGAATTCCTCGTTGGGAAATTCAGAGACTCATACCATAAGAGCTTAAAAAAGAAAAGCGATTTTATGAAAGAACTTAATGATTGGACTACATTTTGTAATTTGGAACTACAATTTCTGGCCTAGTTTTAAAAAAACGTAAGTATCATTAATTTCCCTAGGGACGGAAGGATTTTTATGAATGAGCCAGAAATTGTATTTCTTCATTGCAAATGTTCTCAAATTAGTCCTCGTTGAGAAAAGAAGAAAAAAAAGGAGGTTGGAGTAAAAAACAGAGTAACAAATTGAAATACGTTATTACTGTTTTTTTTTTTTGGGGGGGGGGGAGGTAAGAAATCGAGTTTATTTGTGATTAAGTCATAAGTTTGAACGACATTGCCAAGAAGCCGTTTCACTGATTTTCGGCCGCTTTCACAAGAAAGTAGTACGCATGCGCGTGACTACAGCCGTAAGGAGATTTCTACAAAAATTCCGAAGAGCAGGATAAAAATACGAAGAGATCAGATTGCATTATAATTGAACTGATGACCCATGTCCGCTAATAATAATCAGAGGTGGGGAGCATTGACGCGCCATGAAATTTTGCACTAGCATGAGAGGGCTGATCACTGAATGCTGACTGTACACTTCCGTGCTAAGGAAAAACGCCGTATGAACCTTCAGGCGTTGCCAAATTTTCTCTGGCAAATCACTCATTTTCAGGAAAATTTTCGAATATTTTCCTGCCAATTTCTCAGATAATTCTGTTTGTAATTTGATTTCAAGTGTCTGAAAATGTCAAGGAAAAATATTCACAATTTTCCTCAAAAATAAACATTTTATAGTAGGAAATTAGGCAACTCTCTAATGTTCATACGGCGTTCTTCCTGAGCACGGCAGTACAGTGATGGCGCAGCAGCAAGCACACGGAGCGTCGGAGCACACCGAGCGAGCGAGCTAACGAGCTATCGAAATACGAACTATAAAACGCCTTCAAATGAGTTACCAGCAACACGCCATGCCGCCTTGTAAAAATGTGCTGAACTTCATGTAAGGGGACTCGGACAGTTCTATTAGAACAAATTACGAGCTACATAAGATGAACGCCGATATTGTTTATCTTTTATACAGTCATTTATTTAAAATAAAAATTAATCAGTGAGTAATTCGTCTGTTTCAGCTGAACGGGATCGATGGATAGGGGGAATATTCAACTGGAAGCAAAAGCAATGGCTTTGGGGCCCAACCGGCGCGGTTGTTAAATATAACAGGAAATTTCTGACCCGAGCTAGAAGGAGGCAGAAAGACTATTTCTTTCATTGTATTGTTCTAAATGCAAAACGAAAATACAATTGGAAGGCTGAGAAATGTTTGAGGGAAAGACGCTATATTTGTGAAACAAAACTTGAGGTACGAAAAGATCCAAAAATACAACGAGAGTACCAACTTTCCAAAAATGAAATTATACAGGCGTAATAAACAGAATATGTAAAATTGTACAGTACCTAAGCCTCGCTAGCAAAATAAATAAAAAAAATTGATCCCTTCAAGCCTTCCAATTTAATTTCTTTCTTCCAAAATTTTCATCAAAGAAATATTAGTATTACTTGGACCTAGTTTAACAGAGCAGAAGCAACCCACATAAAGTTGAAACTGAGAAAAAGAGGTTTGAAGTTGTGTTTCTCCATAAGGCTCGATGTAGAAAATGAACTTGAGCCCCTCTTCACATAGACTAATTTTTTTTCACGACTTTGAGATTTTGGAAGGGGAATATATACGACTAGTAGAACTTAAAAATATTCTAAACTCAATTTTTTCAAAAATGTGGGTTGGTTCTTTTCTGATGAACTCAGTCCACTTGCAGGCAAAAAAGATAAACTATACTGATAGAAACGAAGTGAAATAGACTATTTCACCGGCGTCTAAAGTCATGAGAGATCTAGAGATCTTCTGTCAAAACAATATACAGTGAGCTCCTCAGGCAAAGTTCGGACCCCACATCGTCCAGCTGCACATTCCCTCTCTGCACAGCATCAATTCTACTCTTCATGCTACATACTTAAGTTCTGCGGAGTATATTTTACTCCAAACAAAAGTATATATTACAAGGTATTATATTCATGACCATATACACTCTGGCTCCACATGTCGCTCTAATATTCAGGCCCCCTCACTTCTTGAACATTTTCAATCGACACAGGTCAGTCATTCCCGAGGACGAGTTTTGGAACTCTACTGCGCAGTGACGTAGTATTGAGTGCCTGCAATGTATTTCTTAAGGGAGCACCAGAGCACCCAATGTAACGTAGCATTGAGTGCCGCTGAGTTACGGACGGGCGGGGGAGTGGATCTTAAAAGATGCACAATGACTGACCACTGTGGATTGGCCTTGTTTTCAATTTGACCCTTAGACTCCTTGGTTAGATTTTCACGTTGTGCTTTCCCAGCCTAGGTTGGGATAGGAAATCATGCAAAAATGCCTGTTTATAGTTTTTTTAACCTTTATCCAATTATTCCTAAACAAAACAGCTTGCAATTTTATATGCTTTATCCTTAAGTACGTAGTAGTGAAGATCAGTCACCAAAATTAGTTATCGACAGCCAATTTTTTTTTAGAATAAAAACATAAAAAATGAAGATTTTTGAAGTTCCAAGATGAGAATTCTAGTCTGTACGGACTCAAAGCGGTTACAGGAGGACAAGAATTCTTGTTCGTAGCAGTCAAGAGGCTCAAAAAAAAAACCATGTCTATCCTTACAGATGAAACCGACAGTTACTTTTTAGATCATTCATTAGTCTATGAGGATGCTTGATAACTTAAATACAAGCAAAACCAAACATCTGCTGTAACAAAGTAGGAAGGACAAAAATGTTGAACAGGTAAATAGAATTTGGAAAATGAGGGAGAGAATACACAGCAAACAAAGAAAAAACGGAGGTAAATGGAAAAAAAGCCAAAAAAGTGAAAATTTTAGAACAATTTAAAGATGGTAGGTAGTAGGGTCTTACCTTGATATAAGTGCAAAGAGCATCTCCTTTCAAGAATCCTGTTTTGGGATCTGAATATAATTTGATCTTCATTTTGTTAGTTTCTAAATCTTTCATCACTAGTCCACACTTTTGCATTAAATCCACAAACTCATTCTCCGTGATATCACAAGGTAAGTTACTCACATACACTTTAGTATTATTCTCATCATCAAGCTGAAACCAAGCTGACAAAAAAATTACAGTTTAGAGATAATTTAAGGTAAGCTGAAAAAGGGAATTCTATCCATACAGCATGTCTACACAAAATTTTGAGAGAGAGAAAATATCAACTAATGGAGGTTGTTCTTCACATTTGAGTGAGAATCATGTAAACTAGAAAGGACCCCTTACACTCCTTATGGGAAATTGAACCACAATCTATTTTTAATATTTTTATTGCATTCAATTCATCTCAAGATGCTGATCAAAAGTCATCATTGCGCTGACTTTCTACAATGCACCGTTTCTGCACAATACGCCCGGAACGCTTTAATTATTTGGCAATAAAGAGTCAGGAAGATTCCTCATTTTAGCACTCGAGAGAAAGTTTGGCTGTATGTCAACAAGGAAATCAGGGGAACTCCAATACCAAGCGGCAGTCTTATCTCAGATTCTTTTTTTAATCTATTTTTTGACACATTAGAACTGATTAGATGTAAGTAAGAATTTTTCCATGTTTTAGAAATATCATGTAAAAAATAGAGCAAAATATATGATGCCTATACTTATGTGAGATATTTTTGCATCATTTATAAAACTTACAGGACATCAACAGAAATTCTGGTTAAAATTTTGGTAGAAATTTCTACAAGAGTAAAATTCGCGAACCACTTTCAAAAAAATTCTTGATTCCTGATTTCCCTGACATTTCCCTCACACGAAAATCGCTTGTAAAATAAAATTCCCTGACATGCCAAAATTTTGCGGATTTCCTGACGTTTTCCCTCATTTCCCTGACACCCAAAGAAATCCCTGTCATTTCCCGGTTCTCCCGGTTTTCCTGGTCGCTAGACACCCTATATATGTACATGGAATGAAGAAAAGTATATTACAAGATGTCGTAAAAGGAGTGAGCCAGGTTTGGTGCTCTTAATGATTCAAAGGTATGTAAAACGAAAGTATCAGCAATGGAAGGTTTTATTTTGAGACTAGAATACTTGTTGATTAAAGCACTTACTTGGTTCCTGGGGTGCTTTCTTTTTGGGGGCAGTTTCTCCATCTGCACCTGACTCACTTTCTCTTTTTTTCCCTTTTGAATTTTTGGCGTCGGATTCATCTTTGGTTTTATCCGATTCTTTAGAGCTTGTATTGTCTATAAAACCATAACTCATTTGGTAATGAGCCAAAAAATCATCATCAACCTGCAATAGAGAGGTTGTAAAGAGGAACAAATTATGTATGCATGAGGTATTTCAAAATTTATTTCATATTAAAATATCATTTTAAAACTCATTTGCACATAATAATTTTGACGGAGTCTACTTTTGCTCCAGCCTGTGGAGTAGCATTTGCGCCGTTTATGACAGCTAGATGGTGCCCAGATGATGCTTCAATATGTTGTGATATAGGTTGATTTTTGTGCCAGTAAAGGGCTCAAAGTTGCATTTTTATAAAAAAATAAAGCCTCAAACATGGAAGATTAAAACTTTGAACAGATTTTCCTTCAGGTTTTTTGAACTGCAATTTTAAACCGTTGTACCTCCAGTTTGGTTTGACAATTTAGGTTTTTATTGCGCTGTTTCAAAAATCTCCTCTTTGCAGCTGTACCAAAATCCTGTTTATCAGTTTTTCTGTACTTAGTAAGGTCCCGTTTACTGTGAACGGTCAAATTTTGGGTTACATACTAAATACTAATATTATGACCAGCATAAAAACAGATATATTTTAAAGTAGGTGGAAAAATGGTACTAGGTTCACACCATTTCGCCATTATAGATCTCTCGGCATGACCTCAACTCAGTATTCCAATGCAAGCTGCCAGAGCTGAACACCCCCCCCCCCCTCAGTCTTGTACTGGTATTAATTAGACCAAAAAAAAATGTTTGACCCTTTGAAAATTTTTTTGAATTTCTTGGCCTTGTTTTCCCTGCGAAATGGTGTGGACCCAGCACCATTTCTCCACCTTGTTACATAAAGTTTGGGCCACTTCTTAGTGTTTGTTACTCATTTATATTTTTAAGTTAGAATCCTTAATTACTTAATTGAAGAAAAAAGAGGCAGGTCTTTTACCTTCGGAAACCAAGCTTTCTTTTCTTCATCCCAAAAGTAGACAGCTCCATCAGAAGGATCCTTGTAAGTATGGACGCCATTTTCAAAACCATAGGAACCTTTAGACATGTCTAGGGTGTTGATGATTTTCCCTTTTGGTTTATTATTATCTTCATCATCATCATCATCATCATCATCAAATTCCTCTTCATCGTCCCTCCTAGCTAAAAATTTCAAAAGAAGTTATTACAATGGACTACCACTAGGTATCAAACACATGAGAATTAGTACTATTATTTTATCAGCTGACAATAGCATTTCAGTTTGATTCTTAACTCCTATTTGATGTCTTGCTCTCTCCCAAGATGAAATTAAAGCTTAGCAGGATTTAAAGAAAGTAGCCTTCAAGCAGCTTGATGTGCCTGACCCATCTCTCTTTCATTCAAATTGGTTGCCCCACAGACTGGGCGAAATAAATAAACATCAGTAGGTATGAAAGTAATTATTTCAGGTCAAATTTTAAAAGTAAAAGCAAGCCGATCCTTCAGGTTTTTTTCCCGACAAGACTTACTAAATAAAGCACAGCTAGCTTTAATGTTGCCCTTTAAGAGACATATTTAATAGCCAAGCAATGGAAGAATTTAACCATTCGTTAATTTATGATCACAAATATTACGCTGGAAGCCCTTGCTCCCCTTCTCTGATGACCATTCCTACTCATAGCAGCACAAGTAATTTTCCTAGTTTCAAAGGATGATAAAAGCCCCTGATAAAAATCTGACCATCATACCTTTCAAATTTCATTTGATCAACCATGAGAAACATCTTTCCTAATGCAACATTTTAACTATCTATTCTTAAAATATAGAACCTGGTTGATGATTATATCGATTAATAGGTCAAGATTTTTTCAGTGTTGGAGGAAAGCAGTGGGCTAAAACATTAATGAAAACGCACACATTTCAATATAATCCTCGCACGAAATTTAGCCTTTAGAGGTCATGTCAAGTTGTGCCTATCTGCCACACAGGTCATAATTTAGTGATATCTTCTATAATGTGATGCAATACCGAATGTTGCAAGTTCAAGGGGTCTGAGAGAAATTCTTCCCGTTGCGGTCAACCGTCATGCCCAAACTTGCAAAATTACGAGTGAGGCTCGGTGGGACGAGACTGGCCCGACCTGCCACTGAGCCTTGCAAGTTTTGGAGTCAACGTGAGGCCTGGTTTGGCAGTTGGCTGCAAGGGATTATGCATTCAGCCTGTACATGTTTCTGCAGTATAAGGCACTGATTGATTTGATCTAAGGAGGAAAAAACGATAAAATGTATCCAAAGCCTTTTACCCGTACCTCTCTTCTGCTTATTTACAGTGGTTGGACCCGGAATAGTAACATTGGAAAAGACAGCGTCCTTTGGAATCCACTCGTACTTTTCGCTGTTCCACGCATATTGGTACTTGGTGGCAGGATCTGTGTAGATACAGATGTCTCCTTCATAATGTAAGTTTGCAGGATCAAGACTTGGATGACTGTTTGTTTCGCTTCCAGTGGTGGACGAGTCAGGTACGGTTTCAGATGACAGAGTGCCGACAGTACTTACAGGGGCCTCCTTGACAAGATCAGTACCTTGACCTTCTTCTTTATTATTCAAAGAATCAGTTACTGAGTTAGGATCAGAATCACGAGGGGAATTATCAACAGTGCTTCTAGATACTTCCACAACCGAACTGGCACTTATGCTGTCACTCATTTTGCGAACATCTGAACTACTTTCCCTTATTACATCACTTTTGCTAACTAGTCTGGCGGAATTGATGGCAGATTCAGGCAGGGAAAAAATATAATTGACGGGAAAATACAAAAAATAGCGGTGTTTTTCCGACTGTAGATTTGAGTTCACGATAACTTTGAGGTTAGGATCGTATCACAACATTCAAAACATCAACAAATCTGAATGCGCATGCGTCGACCGTTCCAAGTCTGTGATTGGATTTTGTACTTTGCGCCAATTTTCTAGCGCCAAATTCAAAATGACGGACAGTCCAAGCGCGTGCGACAAATGAACGGACTGTTCTGTAATAAATATCAGAGATAGCAGTCGTCGTCGCACCATGTCCAAATTTCTCACCCAGTATAAATGTATATCCGTGACGCATTGAAGTGAGGATGATGACAACATATTGGAGGAAATTAAGACAAATTTATAGGAAAATATTTCATTAACCATCGAGTCATAACGTCCTGCTTGAATGCGACATTTAGTCTCTTCTTCAAGAAGTATAAATATTAATTTTTTCGGTAAGTTTAAATATTTTATAAACCACATATATCTTATTATTTGCTTAATTTCATTATTTCCCTTAGTTATTTTAAATCTATTATCAGTTTCAACTATAGTCATAATAATTAAAATTACGATTACTGGAGTTAATTTTTCTCTAATTGAAAGGTAGACTACATCTTTGCGTATTTTTTGCTAAGTGTGTGTGCCCTGAAGGTTTCTGCCCTGAAATATAAGTTTCTGGGCCTCCTACGGGACAGTTCATAAAGTAAGTAATGTTGAAAATATATTTTTTTACCTCTCACCCCCCCCCCTTCAAAACGTGCCCTTAATACAGATTTGCGCGCCTCTTAAGAAAATTACGTAACGTTCTGTTCGACCCACCCCTCTCCCTTAAATGGCATTTAATGGTTCTTTAATGAAATGCTGCCATCTCGTCTCGATATTGCATGTGCATTTTTTATGTGCATGTGCAATTTATTCATTAGGATACTAGAGAATGTTTAGTTAGAATCTCCTACTTGACTGAACTCAAAAAAAGTCGCTAAACCGAAAATGTCACCTACATGGACTTAAGCTTTCACTCCTTTCAATGACCACATGGCGGCGGAGAACATGCAAAAACTCGTATCTCGTTTGCGGCGTTCCAAAATCTTCGCTCCTATTTTATTTCATCAGAGGAGGACACACCGTCATTATTGCTTGAAAATTCTAAAGAATATTCTTTACAAAGAAAAGGGTAACATCAGGGTAATTTTTTAGAAATGAAATTAAGAGATTGCCAGAATGCTTGAGAGATTTGATCAAAAATAATAACCCTACAATTCATTTCGTAAAAAAATTAAAAGAATATATGAAGGTGAACCCATACTATTCCCTGAAAGAAATTAGTGAAAATAGTCAGTAAGATCTGCTAAGATATTGTATTAGTCAGTAAGATCTGCTAAGAAATTGTATAATGACGTGTATTTTTAGCCCGCAAAAATTGTAGGCTCCATGTACAAAATGTAAAAATAAAAAAATAAGTACTTTTCCATTTAAAATTAAATTTTGACGAAAAATCCTCGGTACCATAAACCGAGGTACGGGGTTCTGCACCTCTGTTGCATCCATCGAAATGTTTTGTCCATGTCTGGTTAACATTGCAAACTTCATGTTCGGAAGATTTTCTTATCAGACGAAATGGTGAGCTGCAATGAACGGATGTTAGACAATGAGGCGATTCACGGCAATTCTTAGTTCTTGACCGTGGAAGGGCGTATAGCGTGAGGCGTTCGAGGCATTGACCTCACAAGGTGCGCGCGTCCAAGTCGACTAGACTCAAGTGGTCGGCATGTGTGGTGTGGCGTTGTGTTTAAAGTGTGTTCCTGCTCATAATTACTGGACCACCACGCGGTAGTGAAAGTGTTCGCGACTTGTCTACCTTTACCGATCCTTCTTTTGCTCCCCCCCCCCCCCCCCCCCCCCNTGGTTCTCGTTTATGCTCGATCCGATACATGCCCTCCCATATTTCCGACCACCGCACAGAAACACATGTAGCCGGCTAAAGTCGGAAAATTATGACGTTGTGAGCATCTACTCATTTTTATTCATTTTCAAGGAGAAACTAACCAAAAGTTTCAATTCTTGTGAAATTTCTTCACTCGTAATAAAAAAATCACAAAGTTCTATGAAACATTTGATAATTATTCTTTGAATTCAATAAGAAACATAATCAGGGATTTTTAAACGTTGAGATCCTAAGTAGACAGATCCGTAGACAGATTGCCCAAGAAGGTGCTAGATTGGGTTCCTCCTGGGAGAAGACGTGGGGCACGTCCAGCAAAGTCGTGGATGGGTGGCATTTAAGATGATCACAAGATGACATTTACCAGATGACCTCTGGATCAATGGGCAAGAATGGCGATTAGGTGTCGCAGAGTGCCCGGGTGCGCTGTAAAAGCGACTTGAATGATCGGGGTACGCATTTTTTGCACTTAGCCGTCGGTAAGAAACAATTTCTCAGGGAGTCCTTAACAGAATCTGCGTAAAAATGAAATAGAAAAAAAAAAATATCATTTCATTTTGTTTGTGATCTTTCACTAGATAAAGAACCAGTTGTCTTTCAAGGAGATTTTGATTATGAAAAAAGTCGCCGGAAATCGTCCCTATTATCGAGTCTTAGGGAGAAATGAAACTTCAGACCTCCTCTGCTCGATTCAAACTTGATTGAACTTGAGCAAACGTTTCTGTTAAACTCGGTTCAAATCGTACTTAGTAATGGTAAGTAATGGTATTCTTGATATACCCAATGAGGTTTCTAGGCTATTTCTAAGTAAAGCTCCGAGCCAAAAAATACCTTTTTCTCATGATTTTCATTGAATCCGTAAAACGTTAAGAATTTTTCTAATTTTTATCTTTAGAATAAAACTCATGATGCTTCAAGGAGCATCAAATGGAACAATTTTTGCGAAATATCCAGAACTTTTGCTCATGGAACCAATAACAATAGCAGTTTTTCATTTTTTTGCAGTTTGACAGTCATGTTACCGCAGATAAACGATGGACAGATACCGTAGATAAGTAAGATCCAGTGTGAACTTTTGTGCGCCGCGCCGGTCCGTCTTGCCTTCCGACGCTCCTATTCTCTCTCGTCCGTCAAAACGGGGAAGTGATCTGTATCACTTATAAGGCCCTTGCGCCCGATCAGAGAGTGGAGTTGTAGATGGAGCCTCGTCCATGAATAGCGACTTGGGTGGGAGACCGCAGAGCCATGCGTCTCTCTATTCATCAAAAGAGTGGACGAGATTGCAAGCAAATTATTATTCCTCATTGAGATCCTTTTTATTAACCTCTGAAAACAAGGCGTCATCAAGCATAGAGAGAGCTGCCTACATTGAGTGATTCGAAAAAGCAAGTATATCTGTCGCAAGCAAATAGTCAAATCAGGCATTTTATAAAATGCCTAGGCAGATACTCATAATTTCAGAGTTTATGAGGTTTTTTTATTTTTTCGCAATTTTCAATATTTTGAGACTGCCGTTTAAGTACAAACTGTCATTGTACTTCCCGCTCAAAAATGCTCCTCATTATCCTTTTACCGTCCAAATTGTGAAATCTTTTTATTTTATGAAATGCTGCATATTTTGAGTTAAATTTGCACTTTAGGAATAGAAAAAACGTATTCATGATTGTGCGGAGCAAGTGCATAAAGGGAATTCTTTTCCACATGAGCATAGAAGTATTTTGTCTACAATTAGCAAAATAATCAGTATTTCAATTTAAGTAAGAATAGTTAACCATTTGCCTAGACATTTGACAAAATGCCTGAATTGCCTATTTGCCTGCGACATATCGATAGTCGAAGTTCGAAATCAAGAGTCTCCCTCCAGTGTTTCAAAATTTCCGCTCCTATTTCAATTTTACGAAGGGCAGCAAGCCAACTCCATAGCTTGAAATTTAAATAGAATATTCTGCTAGTTGAAAGGAAGAATCAAGGAAGTTTTTAAATAATTGCGTTGACTAGTCCAGGGCCAGATTTAGGGGGTGGCCACATGGGCCGCGGCCCGCAACTTTTTAAAAATGTAGTTATAAAAAAACTCGGATTCAGAAAAAAATTATAAATAAGAAAAGGTGACAAAATCTCTCATTTCCTGAGAGTATATTAAATTCTAATTTTGTCGTCTTTTGGTGATACAAAAGACTGCGCACATTTAATTAGTTGAGTTAAGAGAGAAGCCAAACGGCCGAAAGCGGCGCGACTTGAGATGAAAAGGAGAAGCCCTCGGAGCGGCGGTCGGCATGTAACACATATCAGCGCCCACAAGAGTGCATGAATACTTCACGCATTGCGTCAAACACTGTACGGTCAACAGCGGTCGGCGTGAAACGCATAGCTCCTACAAGAGTGCATGAATACTTCACGCATTGCGTCAAATACAGTGCAGTCAGCGCGCCTGCGGAAGTTGAAATTATGAAACCACAATTATGTTTGTTCTTTCATAATTTTTTGGTTTATCTCTTACAAATGATAGGCCTTGTTCACACAGAGATATGTTTACGGAACTGAACTTTCGCGCAAAGTTCCGTGAACTTTTGCAATTAGTGTTGCCAGGGCTTACGCGAAAAATGTGTCCAACACGAATGAACGCGTCTCATGCACCCTTCTCCTTCCCCCTTCGGCACGTTCACTTGATGGTTTTTATTGATGTTTCAAAACGTATAAGAAGGGGGTGGCAAAATACAGGCGGCCCATGGGTGGCAAGTAGGTAAATCCGGCCCTGGACTAGTTTCCCCAAGAAAAAATCAAGTACGCTGGGAAGTCTGCAACGTCGTCGAGATTCGTGGTTTCGCACTTAGGTCATCGAAATGTCAAAAAAGTTCAATGTGGAGGTATATTCTTAACATTTAAAACTGGGTATTTTTTGCCGGGAGGTGGTGGGTGAGGGCCAAGTTACTCTAAAATGGAGACGAACGATTAGTGGCTGTGTTTCTTAAAAACTATTCTTAGATACCTCCTGCTTATAATAGCCACTTAGTTAGAAACGAATTACAGAAAAGTCGTTGTGAATATTATTTGGACGTATTTCTTCCAAACGGAACTACATGCAGTAAGACATGAGCCCCGAGACCCATAGGAATATATGCATAACAGGGCTCA